GGTAAAAACTATTTGAGGAAAGAAATTAAATAAGCATTTTGTGCAAAGTAGGCAATTAGGGGTAAATACATAGAAGTTTTATTTAAGTATAGAATTTTGAAATACGCGGTTGTACAATTAAGGTAAGAAAATCAATTAGTAGCTAGTAAATCAGAGGTCAGAGATTTTGTGTGAATGAACCAAGTCAGAAAAGTTGAGAAAGGTTTTTAACTTAAGTCGAGTCACAGGGAAAATCAGCAAACAAGGAAAAAAAATCAATCAGACCTATTCAGAAGGGAGTCTGAACTAATCACAAATTCGAAAGCCATTTTAGAGGGAAGTTCATCACATATAGAGAGCATACAGACATGTCACGCATGAAAGAAGATGTCGTGTCATTGTAAAATCAGTAGAAGAATCCAGTGTAAAAGAGTTTAGGAGAGTTTAGCAAAAGTCAGAGTCCTATGAAAGACAGGATGTCCCAACTCAGTTCAGAGACTCGAAATTGGTCTGAAGAGTTGGGGGTTTTGAAATAAAACCCTAGTTCAGGCAAATCACATAGCCAAACTTGGAAGAACGGTTCAGAGGTCTCAGAAAAGAACTGAAACTTCTAACACGTTTCTTTCAGCAACAGAAACTCATGAGAAACATGATAGAAAAGTAACATGCAAAACACAGTAGAAGAGCTCAAAGAAAATAGAGTAGAAGAAACTAATTTGAAACATAATGGGAAAATTGATAAGAACAGTAGGAGAAGCATATTAAGACGTTTTTTAGAAGAAGCTTAACCAGAACTCCGTATGTGGAACTTAATAAGAAACACTTAAGAACATAGTAAAGGAAGATACAGTAAGAGAAACACACAAGAATACAGTAGAGGAAAATACAGTAGAAAAAGCATGCAAGAACACAGTATAAGAAAATACAGTAGAAGGAGCATACAAGAACACCGTAGAAGAAGTATACAAGAACATGGTATAAGAAAATACACGAACACGATAGAGGCAAATACACACAAAAAGAAAGTGAGAGAAACATTTAAATACTCTCAGAAAAACCTTAGATCGGAAAAGAAATGGTTTTGAAAGTATCTTTTGAAAGAAAAGCCAGGAAAATCGTTTAAAATATTAAGGAGAGCATGGATATGGAACAAATCTAAAGAGATCAGAAAAACCTCAAAACTAGGGTTTTCAGGGGAACCCAAATGACGAGAAAGGCTTGGATCTAAGCAAAAGGAGTCGAGACCAGGCTTCGAAATAGACATAGCTTGCCGGAACGGGGCCGGAGATGGCCGGGGAACTCGAATCGACAGAGGTCTGGACATAACCCTTCATGGTCGAGTCATGGAGCTTCAGTCAACCAAACATGAGGAGCCATAGGTGGCTTGGTGAGTGGTGAAACCACCATGGATCTAGGTTAGAGGGTGACCGGAGAAGATGAACAAGATTCATCGGAGAGGATGGGGTGAGGAAGGTTCTAGAGCGAACCAGAGGTTAGAGAGATAAAGACGAGTGAGGGAAAAATGAGGGGTATTGGGGGGTCGTTTGGTTTAATTTAGGTAGGTTAAACGGGGACCGTTGATCTGAATGATCAACGGTCCAGATTGGATGGGGTAGTTTGGTCGGGTAGGATAATTGGGGCCTGGATCGGGTAATCTGATTGGGCTGGGTATTGGATTGGTCTAATTTGGGTTGGGGCTTGGGTTTAATTAGGCCAAATTAGAAAGCCAAATGTGGCTAAAAGTTAAGTAGCCTCTTTTTCCCTCTTAATTTATAAAAAAAATAAACAAATTTCTGGAAACAAATTAAAAGTACTAAAATGTCTTATAATATATAATTATTAATTTAAAAATATAAAATCCCATTTTATAAATATGAGACGGATTTAAACTTAAAAATGGCTAATATTGCAATTATGCAATTTTATCCTTAAAAATACCAAATAAATTTATAAAAATGTGTTAAAAAATATCTTAGTCATATTTTGGTACAAACATAAGAATCCAATAAATGAATCACCAAAAATGATAATTTTAGGGACCATCATTGGGTTTTTCTTGATAAAATAGGGCAGTAAATTGATTTAAAAATCTTTGAAAATTAAGGAAAAATAATAGGACCTTCGGATGTACTTTTTTTTTTAAATCCACTAGGCTGAGCGCCTAAGGCTAGTTTTTATATATTTAAACAAGGAAAGAAAACAAAGTCACATGTTGTCTTACGAGAAGTAAGATGATATAATTTGTCAACTACATAGCTCCTATTATCAATATTTGGGATTGTAGGCCCAATACTGATATTAAAAATTAAGCTAAGACTGAAAATTAAGACATGTATCAAAATTAGCCAATTACAAATATAGCCACTTTCTGCGTTGTTGCATATTTGGTTGCCATTCTGGCCCGTCACCTTGTGTTTCTCCCCAGTTGTATAGCATAGCTCCCTATCTTTTCCGTAATCATATAAGTTGCATTCATCAGTTTTGACATCTTGCACCATCCAGCTGTGTATGATTGCTAGTAACACTGCCCAGTTCCACACTTCTATACTGCGTGTGCATTTAGTCATTGCAGCTGTGCTTCTTGAATGAGTATGTGGACTTCTTCTTCTCCTGTGTGTCTTATATATCCTTATAGCTGTAGGTAGTGATTTCCTTCGTTTACACTTGGAAATAATTCCCACCGCTCCAGTTGAAAACTGTTGCCTTTTCCTTGAGATACATATTTCCTGCTCTTTTGTGTTTACATTTTCCAAATGGTCTTGTGTCCTCTTTCTGTATCTGATGGTTCTTCTGTTGTTCTTCATTTGCCTGGCTCCCTGTATGTGGGGATATCCTCAACGATTACTTCAAGCTGTTCCTCTTAGAGATCTGTCCTTCAACTCTGTACCTGCTGTATACCTGAGTGTTTGTGAAATTTTTGGTATCACCAAAATCTGTTTCCTGCTGCTCTTCTTTGTCTGAAAAAGGTTGGATCACTGATGGTGTTAATGAGGTGTTAACCTCCACTTTTTTATTCTTTCCAACCAATTCATCTTTCAATAGTGTTGCTTGCCAAAGTTGCTTGTCCATCACTGAAAAACTGGACAGCCTACTATCATATCCTGCTCCTATGCTTGTGCCTATCCTTGGTTTCCTTCCAGTGGAATGAGTGCTTAGCACTAATACCACCAACTGGAATTCCACCAATGAATAGGGCATAGGCACAGTAACATTTCCTGCAAAAAAGAAAACAATGTTAGAAAGAAAGGACCTCACCATACTCTCCTCCAAAAGGATTCGAATATGGTGAATAGATGGCTCAACTCATACCCTCACCCTCTCCTCCTCTTCCATATCTACCTCTTTGCTACCTCCACCCTTATGTATGGACATTGTAGTTTATCACTGTTCACCAATCTCCTGGCATGTGAATCCAGATCCTGAAATCCAAAGCATTCTAATGGACCATGATCCAGTGCATAATTTGCAATGTAGTCTGCTAGGTTGTTCCCTTCTCTAAGTATGTGAGCTACAGTTGTATTACACCTTGTCATCATCTGCTTGATCTCCTCAACAATCTCACTGATATTCCATGGTATTTTCCATACTCCTTCTATTACATTTTTCAGCATTATTGAATCAGTGTTCAACTCAATTAACACATATCCATTCCCATCACAGTACTTCAGTGCTTCAAGGATTGCTCTTGCTTCTGCAACAGAATTAGATCCCTCCTGAATCTCCTTACCACAAGCATACACTACATCCCCTTCCTCATTTCTCAAAACAAAGCCTACTGAACTCCTACCAGGGTTACCCCTCGAAGCCCCATCAGTGTTCACCGTAATCCAACCTTGACTGGGTAGCTCCCACAACACCTTTGTATGGTTCAACTTGGGTGTATATTGTACTAACACCCTAATCAGATCTGGCCATTTGTGAGGAAGATTTTGGATCCCTGGTTTTCTGAGCTTGACAAGATATTGCATATTAGTAGATATTTGATATATAACCCTGTTAATTGTGACAACATCACCATATTTGTAGCTATTCCTCCTCTTCCACAACTCCCATATTATGACTGAAGGTAGTGCTTGCATAATAGGCTTCATTCTCTGAACAACATCAACAGTCCAACATTTTGTAATGACTTGATGCAGAGTGATCCCCTCGATTGTGATTCCTGCATGTCCAAGGAAGTATTTCCATATAGTATTGGCAGCAGGTGAGGTAAAAAACAGATGCTACAGTGTTTCTTCCTTAGGTTCTATACAACACCAACACTTAGAGGCCATTTGATAACCCAACCTTCTATAGAAATCATCTAAAGGAAGCTTGTTCCTCCAAACCTTCCACATGAAGAATGAAATCTTGAAAGGCACTCCTCTCACCCATATATTCCTGTAAGCATTTCTAGGCTCATGTCTCCTCCTCAAATACTCCCAGGCAGACTTGACACTAAACTCCCCCCTTGTCTCAAGAATCCAAACAGGCTTGTCAATCATATCATTCCTAGATGGAGGTTGAATGTTCTCCAATATATGAGTAGCAAGGTCTTCTGGAAGAATCCCTCTTATTCTTTCTTCATTCCACTGTCCCTCAATGACCACATCATATATGTTCTGCACTTCTTCATCTCCCACAAAATCTGGAGGGGTAACAAAATATAGTGCACCCAGCCCCGTCCAGTTTTCATACCAAAATAGGGATGATCCCATCTTGAGTTGCCGTAAAATCTTATGCTCTATGATATCCCTACAATCTAGCATTTTTCTCCACACACGGGATCCACCCCTCCAAGGAACTATGATAGGATTGAGTTTCTTACAGTATTTCTGGCACATGAAAGAGCTCCACATGCTTGGTTTTGTTCTAAAATTCCACCAAAGCTTACAAAACAAAGCAGTAGCCATATCATGTAGTGATCTGAAGGCCACACCTCCCTCTTCACATGGCAAGCATAGGTTGTTCCAAGATGCCCAGTGTCTATTTGATGTGCCCACTGAATCACTCCAAAAGAACTAAGCAAAGATCTTATGAAGTCAGTTGATCACATAAGCTGGAGGATTGACTGCTGAAAGCAAATGAATTGGCATGCTCTGTAGAACATGAGAAATAAGCACTTCCCTTCCTCCAATGGATAGTAGCTTCCCCTTCCAACTCTGCAACTTGTCCATTACCTTTGTTATAAGATCCTTATAGTAATCCATGTTCCTTCTAAGATAGAATATTGGATATCCAAGGTAAGTAAATAGAAACTCCTGCTTTGGAATACCTGTAATCCTCTGAACCTTATCAATCACTTGTGCACTAGTAGAATGATGCATATAGACTGCAGATTTACCCTTGTTTATCAATTACCCAGACGCAGCTTCATGACAAGATTTGCATTATGATTTGTAAAGATGTGGCATCTGATGATGAGAAGATAATTGTATCATCAGCATATGCTTGATGATTTATCTTGGGACTCCATTTGGGCAGCCCAAATCCACAGAAATACAGGTTATTGTGTAAAGAGTTCAGCCCTCGAGATAATGCTTCTGCAGCTAGAATAAAAAGTGCAGTGACAGTGGGTTACCTTGCTTCACACCTCTAGTTGATCTAAAGAAGCCATGAGGCTGTCCATTTAACAGGATAGAGTACCAGTTATTGGAAACAATCCCAAACACCAGCCCTATAAATCTTTCTCNTCCCAAACACCAGTCCTATAAATCTTTCTCCAAATCCCATCTTCCTCAACACCTTTGACAAGAACAACCAGGACAATCGATCGTATGCTTTTGCCATATCCAATTTGATCACTACAGTTGGACCTGCCTTCGTTCTTAGTCTAATATCTGTAACTATTTCTTGCGTTAATAACACATTCTCCACTATGCTCCTCCCTTTCACAAAGCCTGCCTGTTCATCAGATATTAGACTAGGCAGCAAGCTTACCAGCAAGGTGTATGAATCTGCATAACATGT